AACCACAGGGTCGTTCCTCCTAACTGCGTTTATCGTGGTCTAGCGCTCAATCGACGTATTAAAACGTCATGCATTAGGCCTGGTCTTTATCTTGGATATGTTAAAAGAGTTGATTAGAATGAGATACAGACTACCTACTAACCACACTGGTTGACAGAGCTTTTAATTATTTATTAATGGCATAATAAAATTTTGTATGGCCCCATATGATCTGGCTGAAAAACATGAGGCAAACAAAACATGAATAAAGGGTGTTGAGTTATTAAGAATGTTTAGATCTGTGATTTACCAATGGTGAACAAAGTGCTATGAAACAAGAGTGCACAAAGCAGTTGGCTTCCTCCTGGCAGGTGGCGGACCACACGACGTACACCTATTCTTGGTATTCTTGGTGCCAGTGTGGAGCTGGATTTGCACCACCACACCCTCTACTTACTGAGTTGACATTTATCCAGATTTATACAGAAGATAAGCTAGCTAATTACACTGTCCACATTGTCCAGTTACTACCCACACAGCCCCATTAAGTCTATGTAGTTTAATAGTTCTGTTCTTTTCTCCAACAGGAAATCATGAAGATCTTGGTGGCCTGTTTGGTGCTGGTGCTGCTGTCTGCCAGTGTGCACTCTGAAGATGTCCAAGCCCGTTATGATAAGTTCATAAACCAACATATCCATGAGAGTATGAAGCCTGAGATATGTAATCAGGTGATAGGTGAAAAGGACATCAAGGACGCAAAAACCAGCAAATGTAAAGACACCAACACTTTCATCCTTTCCACCATCAATTTAGTCAAAGAAATCTGTGACCGTGCAGGTCCACAATATAAAGATGGTGACCTGACCACAAGCACCAAACAATTTGACATTGTTGTCTGTAAACTGGAACAAAAGGGAGCCAGTCCTCCCAACTGCAAGTACAATGGTACACATCACAAAAGTCAAATTGTAATAAGCTGTGAAGGAGGCTTTCCTGTGCACTATGAAAAAAACAACTAGAATCTGATGTTAGTTTTTGATCCATCTTGTTTTAATGTCCATTTCAGCATCTTTTACCTGATTTGTCTTCTAGATACTAAAGTCAAACAAAGAAACTATAGTGGCCTGGGTGAGAAAATGTTTTTTCCATCCTTATTGTCACATGTTCTCCATCAGTGACCATGT